AATTGCACTTGCGCAGATTTGATTTGCTCAGTGGGCAACCGAAGGAATGAATAAACTTGCCTGATGGAACAAGTTTAATACATTTTGCCATCTGTCTGTGCAGCAGTATAAAAAGGGTAAACTGCTGTTCCGTCTATCAGCAGGTCGCGTTTTTGGTACTGGAGGAATCCGATGAGCTATAAAGCTCTTTTTCGCAGACATCAAGTGTGGGTGCTTCCAACCCCTTTCCACTGTCGTGGAAGAGTAGGCCAATATACCCATGAGAGAGGGGCTCTCCAGTGCTCCTTCCAATGCAGGTAGTTGCGCCAGCGGCAGCCTGAACAAGTGATGATTTGGAGGGTCACAGCTTTACTTTTATATTTTAGCCACTTTCCTGAACAAGCCTTGGCACACGGTGTACAATGCGACAGCTCAAGGTTACTGAACCGTCACAGGAAAAACAGGTGCAATATTTTCATAGTGCGAGACGCCCACCCCCACCGCTAACCCCAATCTCTATGGCACCCAGACGACTCTGGGTGAAACGTAATAATAATGTTGAAGTTTGATTGTGTGTGTGGGTGAGGTTTCGGTGTGTGGGTGAGGTTTCGGTGTGGCAACTTGGCAGGCTGTTACAGACAGTTTTCGGCAGCTGCTTTATGCTGGGGAATGGCAGAGGAGGAGATAATTGGTACCCTTTAGCTCAGAGGTGTCGTATTGGCTCTTGCTATGCCTTGGCCCTGCTAATGATCTGGCCGAATTGCCGTGCAGTCTGCAGGTATTTGTAGGTTTTTTTCGGCCGTGGTCGTTAAATCTGTGCAGGTACGCGCTCGTGTGCACACGGGAGAGAGCCTCGCGTAAAAATTATTGGTTACTCTACTATTTCTTTGAGACCGTTTATAATAATAATGCAATTTATAATGCGCGCAAATTTGCGGACGTAACGGCCGCAACTCGGAGGCGCGGAGCCAAGCTCAGAGTCGCTCGAAAGCGTGGTTATAGAGGTGAATTTTAAGTGTCTCTTGAAGGAGGCGATTGAGGTGATGCTGCAAATTTGCAGAGGGATGGCGTTCCAGACTGTTGGGGCTGCCACCGAGAAGCGGCGCATAGACATGACCATCCTGGATCTTGGTATCAAGAGGAGGTCGTGAGTCGCGCTGCGCAGGCATCTGCCGTGTGCTAAGCTGCAAGTTGGCAATAATGAAGGTACGGTGGGCAGGCAGATGTGACGGCATGGTGGCAGAGGCAGGCGATCTTGTATATGACCCTACTGGCGATGGGTAGCCAGTTGAGGGCACGGAGACAGGCAAGTGAGTCGAGACGGGGATGAATGTGGCCAATGAAAGAAAGCGATGGCAATTAAAGTTATGATGTTCCTTATATGAATGAATATATATGTTTTTGGGATCGCGAGGGAATTGTCACGCCCCTAATTCACATGCGAGAATATGGGTTTGCAGAGTGAAGGGAGCTTGAACAAAAAAATAGATCGCAATAATCGAGGAGAAGATGGGCCCATAGCGGTGGAACACTTGCATGTGGCAAGGGAAAAGGTCGTGTGTCACATTTCAAGAGCTGTCCTTTTCCTTGCCTCGCACACCCTCCGGGCAACACCCGAGGAAGAGATGTTGATTATTCGCACGTGGGCACTCGCCGATTCGCGCTCTCCGACAAGGCAACAAACGAACCGGGCACCCAGGGAATAATAATAATATAATAATTTACATTTATAAAGCCCCCTTCAACAATCGTTCTCAGGGCGCTCTGCATGAAAAGGTGGAAATAGTTTAACGTCAAGCAAGGAAGAAGAAGAAGTGAGACGTTTGTAAATAACTACAGAGAGAGCCATTTTAAGCAGATGTGTTTTTCGTCGAGATTTGAAGATTGGGAAGTGTCTCGGAAGACCTGACCTCGATAAAGGAAAGGAGTTCCAGAGTTTAGGTGCCGCAATTGCAAAGGCACCGCCGCCACCCCAAGTGTTAAAGTCGAGACCGTGCAACTGTGAGCAATGCAGCTTCTTTAATTGACCACCAGGTTACACCAGCCCACAGGGGATTATTGTGTCCGTCCGTCGTGCAGGGAGGGGCTGGGTGGGGAGTGTGGGGTAGGGTGGGGAGGGTGGGGGGTGGGGGGTGGGGCTGGGTGGAGAGGGGCTGGTCACCCCGTGGTGCCCTTATAAAACTCAACGTTTAACCTACTCATGCCGGCTTGTGCTCGCCCTCACAGTCGGGCATATTTGCGGAATACACCACGCCGCCGTTGACCCTGGCCATTGACCGAGCTCCCTCCGCAGGAATGTGTTTTTAATGCCAGTCGGGGCACTCCTGCCCCTTTACCACGTGACCCTCCCTGCGCCATTTTTTTCAGTGGTTATTCGTACATTGGTCACCCACACACTCCCGACTGCTAAACCATTGGGTTTAACGGGAATTCTAAAATCCAGTTTTTTGTTGTGGTGGGCTGAGAACCGAGAATTAGAGTTAGGTCCTGCACTGCTATAACTTTTTGGACAATCTTAAGCCTCTAAACCGCCGATGAAAACAAGGCTTAACCTCAGTATGAAAGCCCCCCTCCCCCCCCTCCCCGTGTTAATGATTCCGTGTAGCACTCTTTGTGAGCAAAAACTTAACAGAAAATTAAAGGAAACTTGTATGGACATAGCATGAAAAGAAGATACCGGTCTCCAGCCGTCGTCACGGCATTATTGCTACCTTACTACCTGCCCTGTGTACGCATGCATGTTAAACTTCTTTGACACCGTACATAGCCAATCGTGCTAATCGAAGGTGCGGGGGAAGGACAACAAACTTAACACGAAAAGCAGTCCTGAAGAAATTTGTTTCAATTTAAGATTCAAAAGTGTTTGTCCCCAGCAGCTTCATAATTTTGGAAGGAAGAGCGTTCCAGACGGCCGCAGAAGCGCATCTGAAAGCACACGATGTGGTGGAGCGTCTCTTGTTTCGATGGCCAGCCAAAAGCCGCTGCTGTTGCTGCTCCTGCGAGCATGGAAGGTGTGAATTTGATCACACTTATCAGAATCGCCTCGAACTTTCTTGAGAGCTCCGGACCCGTTCGGAGTGTGGCGAGTGAGATGATTAACCATAAAAGGGGTGTTAACCTTTGCACCTTCACAGAAGACATTCAGGTGTCAACTGTGTGAGTGATCCCAAATATCGATTTCAAATGGAGAATGCGTCCCATGCAAAGAAAGAAAAAAGATCTCCCCCCATATATCTTGTATACAAACTGTTGGGGAAAGTGTTGTTCACGAGCACCTATGAAGGCCTGGACTGCTCTATTACGGGGTGTTGTGGCCAAGGACCAGGCACGGCCGCCTTTCACAGCAATACATTGTAGGCCTGTACCATTACCTTCCTACTATTATAGTATTATAATGATACTAAAGGTGTTGTTTGGCACACAGAAACTGAACTGGCAGTGCACCTACCCCAGAGTTTCATCGCTAGTTTGTTGGCTTGCACATTTTCTCCCTGCAACATCCGGTAACTGCCACCACTGCCGACGATCTTGGCCTGCGGTCGTTCCTCGTTCGAGGAAGGGAGCTGCTTAGCCCGATGGTGGCCTCACCAGCAGGACTCGAAGTCCGAGTCTGGCCGTGCGATCGATGCATCGTGCACGCCGCGTGAGAATGGCAGAGCTGTGTTGGAGAATGCAAATCGGATCGCTAGTAAAGCACTAGAAATGAGGAGCATTGCGAGCGCTGTGCACGCACCCAGATAATGTTAACGGCTCGTCACCACGGGTCCTGCGGTGGCATGATGGCAACCATCTCGTCTGGGATATAGGAGATCATGGTTTAGATCCCGATCCTCACACCTGTATATTCTAGAGTTTGCATGCGTCTCTCCCCGTGGTCATGTGGATTTTTCTCCTGGGTCCTCCGGTTTTCTCCTCCACATTTAGAAACATGCTTTTATTTAGCCGCAATACATTTCCACACAATAAGCCACTTCGTTGAGCTATCATTTGTGGCCAGGTCACTGCTAAAAAAGAGCTTTATAGCTTGGTGGGCCTTGCGTGATAAAATACTATTTATATTCTTGGTTCTTTCGGTAAAGTCACGTTACGTAGAAGGGAAATAATAAAATAATATAAATATAAAACAATAAAAAATTCTCACGACGTTTCGACTGCAACACAAGCAATCATCAGGTGTGAAATCCACAGCAATAAAATGATGATTTTCTTGATGATTGCTTGTGTTGCAGTCGAAACGTCGTGAGAATTTTTTATTGTTTTATATTTATATTATTTTATTATTTCCATTCTACGCGACTTTACCGAAAGAACCAAGAATATGAATCCCTGCAGTCACGAAAGCTTTAAATCAAAAATACAATTTAGTTTCAGATTTTTAACACAAGGAAGCATTTTCATTAATTATTCAATGATAGCATTACCTCGTGCTTGCTTGATTCTACCCACTCTTTCTCTGCTAAAGTACGAATCCCAAAACACACCCCTCCCCTGCCGTCGCCCTCAAACTCTCGTCGCGTCCGTTTGTTTCTCCCCTTGTACGGCGTCGTGAGGATGTGATCGCGCTCATGGGTGAATCGTGCATCAGGTGACCCATCGCGGGGGGTGGCGGTCGCTTCAGCAGGCCCCTTTCTCTACGTCACCCTAGTAGCAGAAACGCTTACCAAAAAATTTTTTTTTTATTTTACCAGGTAAGGCCCACTGAGCTATGTAGCTCTTTTTCAGACGCGACCTGGCCACAACGACAGCTCAACGAGTGGCCTATCATCATGTGGAAATATGTTGCAGCCAAATACTCTAAACGCACGTTGTTTCTAAATGTGGTGGGAAAAAAACCAGAAGCCCCGGAGAAAAATCCACGCGACCACGCGCTGCAAACTCTAAATATATAGCAGGTATTGTCAGGGTCGGGATTGAACCCACGACCTCCCGCATACCAGGCGAGGGAGTTACCGTCTCTTAGCCCCTGCCGGCGCCCACTTACACTTGTTTTGATGCAAATTTTTGTGTGCTCTGTTCCACAGAGGCTCGCGAGCTCGTTCTGAAGGCTCAGATCTTGGCGGGAGGTCGAGGCAAGGGCTCCTTCAGCAGTGGGCTCAAGGGAGGTGTTCACCTCACCAAGGAGTGAGTTTTAAACTGCTCGCGCACTTTCTATTTTAATCGGCCATGGCCCGATCCACTGCTGGATAGTATACGTTGGTCGGGAGAAATTTTTATTTAAAACGTTAACAAATCCGTCAAGTATTCCTACTTAAAGCTTTCGTGACTGCATGGGATTCATATTCTTGGATCTTTCGGTAAAGTGAGGACGGCTGCTTGTGTTGTGGCCGAAACGTCGTGAGAATTTTATTATGTTTTATTATTTTATTATTTTATTGTTCCCTTCTACGTGACTTTACCGAAATATCCAAGAATAAGTATTCCTACGTTTATTTACCCCCTGAATTGTCTTGCATTTTAATTAATTGTCTCGCTTGTCTCAGTCCCTTTTTGCACGCATGCGCTGTGTCAACGCACGTTAGAGACACGAGACTCATTTCAAGTGCCGGAATGCGATCCATTTATTAACCCTGTAATGCAGCGTATACGTTCAGAATGTGCCACTTAGGTGTGATATACTGTATTAAATAACATAGAACATGCCGGGGTAATTTACCTAACCCCGGTACATCTCAGCATATTGCAGACAATTCATTTCCTTTCGGGACAGGTACATTTACTTAATGACCTGTCAACACCGATGCATGCCTTTGATATATACCGCAGATAATGCTGCGAAGCGATCATCCATTCCTTTTTTTGGGCCCTAAATTTCCCACCAACGCACGCGGCCAAGTCGGCTTGCACCTTCCATTACCAAGGTTGGCTACGTACGGGGCGAAGGAAGTTCAACTTGCGTTGCCACGATATTATTTGTTCGTGATACAATCCGATGTCAGAGTTCATGGTGTAACAATTATCACGATACCCACAAACGTGTAATTTGTATTTCACATAAAAAAAAAAACTTAATTGCTACTCTTACTTGTAGTACAGATAAAGATTATGTAAATGTTCTTCAACTGCAGTTCTCTTAACATAATCCGTAGGTATATCTTATAATTGCAATCTATGTCTCTTCAGAAACCCACTCAAAGTGACCCAGTTTGTGGGAATGCTGCCATCTGTACCGTGGGTCTCACGGCTTTGAAATTATCGGCATGCTCGATTTGATGAATTATATATACATGTTCGTACATGAATGTTATCGACAGATAGATTTGACACATGCATTCTGAATGCAATTATGAAAAGATAAGATTGCATTTTCTGTGATCATTTTCAAGGCTGTCGCATGATTACACAGTGTATAGATGGACTTAAAAATACATTTTAGTTTCAAGTATTTTTTTAGGTCAAAAATATGACCCATGATGGAGGTTTTTTTTTCACCGAGTTGGTCGCAACATTCACAAGGATACCACGTGAACATCAACACGGTCAACAATAATGTTAAACAACCATTGGAAGTTACATTATGAGGATACATTAAATCCCTTAATATTGTAACATTCTACCCAGCAGAAGGTATGAAGTTGATCCACTGCACAATAGCTCGCATATGAAATGTTAATTACATAATAATTCACAAGCTAAATGTTGATAATGACTAATTTATTACCATGCCTAATTTTAGTTGTGCGTAGCCAAACGACGTAAGTGGTACCATCATAACAAACTAAATTTGACACAAAGGCTGCGCTGTAACGGTGTAGTACATGCAAACAGGGCTTCCCATCCGCTCAAGTCATGTCAGCCTGTATTCAAGCATCTTCAGCTGGCAGTTGTTCCGATGAAATTGAAATTACATTCTCACTGGTACAGCAGTGACGCACTGGTTAACTTGCAGTGCGACAAGCCCGGTGCCCGGTTTTGATTCCTGGCTGGAGTTCAAATTAGCGACGATTTGTAGCAGAACCATTCCTGCCCTCCTCCTCCTCACTGTCGCCATCCCACACTGTTCAGTGCGGTGAAGTATGGTTAGAAAAAACAACCCTCAATGACTGACATGGTGTGGCGAGGCCTTCATCCCCGAGTGGATTAAGAATAGCTGCAATGTATTCATTTTATTTATTGTTTTCATGCAGCCGTTGTTTAGGCAAATACACATTCTCTCTCCTATGAGTAGGAGAATAAATCTGAAGACTTTGTAAAGACATTGAGGCAACACACCTTATGTCAAACCAGACAAGAGCCTCCTGGGGTTTCACCGTACCATTTGGGCCATTCCAATGCATTAACATTGATTCTCACACTCATGGCATTGTGAGCTTGTGAATACAGTATACTCTCGATTATCTGCTTGCGGTTTATCCGATTTCAGGATTGACTTGCCACCTGAGATTTTGACTGTAAATTAATAACCGATGGATTTTCCTTAAGCCCAAATTAATAATCTAACACCAGTTATACATTGCTCTTCTTGGAAATATTTTATTATAAGTCACGCGCTTAAACCGAACAAATATGCGCTCCGGTGTATCCGAAATCCACGTGATCGCCGCTACAGTACAGTAGTTACATATCTTTATAACAGTGGGTGGAGTTTGATTGTGATTGGGGCGGCTCTGCTATCCATCTAGTGAGCGTAGTCTTCTGTGGGGGAGCAGGAAAGTGCGATGATGGAGCACGCGCATTCGTTCGATATCGAAAGAGTAACAATCAAAATCGTCATTTGTGCTTCATTTTGAGTGATTTATCCTCTCATTAATTTTGTGAGTTTTAATTTATGCCTTCATCAGTGGTTTTTGGCATAGAAATCCGCGGAAAATGTATATTTTTGGATTAGCAACGATTTTGAATTATCCTTGGCCATCCTCCCCGTGATTAGCAGGGATATATCTTGGTTCTTTCGGTAAAGTCACGTAGAAGGGAAGTAATAAAATAATAAAAATAAAACACAATAAAATATTTCTCACGACGTTTCGGCCACAACGCAAGCAACCGTCTTCAGGTGAAAACCAGGTCTGTCGAGGCGACAGAGTCTGAATGAAACAGCACACGAGCTTGGAGCATATATATAAGCTGACAATGCTACCCCTATCCCCTCCCTTTGATGCTGAATTAGTACTATTCACATACCTGCATTTCCCATATCCTCTCCCTTTGATGATGTTAATCCTGCATAATGCACATGCATATGTAGTACTAATCACATTCCTGCATTTCCCATAAATATGCTAAATTCCTCTTGATATGCAAATTCCTTTGTCAAGGCGCCCAGCTTATATATATGCTCCAAGCTCGTGTTCTGTTTCATTCAGACTCTGTCACCTCGACAGACCTGGTTTTCACCTGAAGACGGCTGCTTGCGTTGTGACCGAAACGTCGTGAGAATTATTTTATTGTGTTTTATTTTTATCATTTTATTACTTCCCTTCTACGTGACTTTACCGAAAGAACCAAGATGAATCCCTGCAGTCGCGAAAGCTATAAATCGAAATGCCTGCAGAAGTTTGTGGAAAAAAGTCTTGAGGGAAGGAACGCTCAATTCCGCAGCTCCTGTGGCTCCTGCAGCTACTGGAGTCCGCTAAATTTGCTACCAATCTAGCAAAACAATGATTCTCAATATGAATCGTGATCTTGAATAGCGACAATCCTTAGCACTGTTAATGACAATTAATTGTCACCCCCCCGCCTTCCCACCAAAGAGTGAACATTAATCGACTCGCAAAGGGAGGTGAAATGTTACATGCACAGCTGATGCATTGAGATTATTTTAATTGTTTTACTTTGATAAATGTACACGTAATAAGCCACTTTTTTGAGCTATCATTTGTGGCCAGGTCGCTTATGAAAACTAAGTTAATAGCTCAGTGGGCTTTACCTGGTAAGATAAAAAATAATTTAGTTTTATTTGTATATTTGTAAGTGATTTGTCTTTACCTTTCCTATCCTTTGTCATGTTTGTTGTTACGGTCTGACCCGCCCCTGCTGGATATGTGTGACAAAGAGCTTTATAGCTCATCGGATTCCTCCAGTATAAGTAAATATTCTGATTCTGTGTTATAACTCTTTCATGTTTGTTGTTGTTCTTCTTCCGTCTATTTGTGTTTCTGCTGAACAGTCCTCAGGTGGTGAAAGACCTTTCTGCAAAAATGCTCGGCTTTAACCTCGTCACAAAACAGACCCCCAAGGAAGGCGTTTGTGTTTCAAAGGTGAGACGCTATTTCCATTTAACTTTAATGTTGATGTATACACACACACACACAACAAAGATGTCCCCAATAGCCTCAACAGTCTGTTGGGGCAATTGCTGTTAGCGAGCATCTATGAAGGCCTTCGCGGCACACGAGGATGTCGGTGACCAGCATCACGCCCGGCCGCCTTTGTCTTCCCAGTGGTGATGTTTACTACACACCGCGCCAGGTACTTCATTTAAGACAGAGTTGATTCGGAGGGGCACGTGACCGGTCCAGATAATCGTCACCAATGTTGGCCGTGAGCGAGAATTGAACTCGGATCACTGGGTTCTTCGCGCAGTGTGCTAACCATTGAACCACCGCTTCCCACATACACAGAGTAGGTGACGCATACACACACACACACCCTGCGTATTTTCTGCTATTAAAATAATGTTTTTGGTGCTTGCGGTCCGCTTTTGCTTACGGTCTAATAAAGTGCGTGAATTTATAGAAGGTATTTCTTACTCGTTCCTTGTAATGTTTCACGACCAAATACAATAAATTAAATACAAAAAATATATAGCAGCCTGCGGTACTATTGCTCTAAGTAGTGTTCTGTGTTTCGATTGCAGGTTCCCACCAATGATAAATATATGCCTTCATGATGCCACACGTAGACGTTTATTTATCTGTCTTGAGAGCCCTACTTCGTTAGGGGATTACATTTTCTGGAAACTCTTGCGTTGTGTGGCTTAGCCAATTCCTCTTGGAGGAGTGTTTTGCAAGCGAAAGGAAACCAGAGTATTGGGGAAAAACACATTTATACCCATGGGATTAGGTCGACACAACAAAGGAGTTGAAGAACCCACTGCTAGAGGTGAATCAGGTGTACATACGATCACGGGTTAGGGCACTGACCCAGTATCCCTGAGATCCTAGGTTCGAATCTAGGCACACCCAGAATTAAAGCGGTGTTCTCAAGCGGAGTGAGTTGATTGTCTCAGCCCCGATCATCAGTAGATGTGCCAAAAAACCCCATTGTGGGAGTTTTTTTTCTTAATTTGTCTCATTCCATCTTTCAAACCCAGTAAGTGTGGTCTGATTGATACGCAGATGAGCAGTCTCAGCAGGTTATAAAGAGGTGTTCCCTGAAAGTGGACATTTCAATTGTCTTTATCTCATGACATGATGCTGATAGCACAATTATAATCCACTTGCTGTACTGCCATCTCCTGGCTGTCTCGCAGCCCAGCGGGGTTGGAAGTGTCACGTGATTATCTCCGTGAAATTACATGCCTGCTCCACCATGCCTGACATTTAAAGTATCTCCAATGATTCATTCACATAGCGCACAATTACGCAGCCTGTAGGAAGCTAGCTGAAATTATATATTTTAGAAAATAAAGAGGAATGCAACGTTAGTTTATAATTCGAACGGGTGTTATTGTCTGCTGGTCCAGCTGTGTTGTGGGTAGTAGGGCCATGCAGCCAACGTCATCGTTAAACCGTACTATGCTTCACCAGCCTGCACTGACCGGTGTGAGAGAGTGGTCAGGTTAAAGTCTCATGGCCGGAACTGCGTGGGGGAAGCCCTCACCTTGCAGTGGATTAAAAAACAGTGCTTGCACACGTCTTGTGCAAGCACTTAGATGTTCTCCGACATCTATTCGGGTCGTCACCACGTCGTTGTCCGGCTGCGACGTTCCTGAAAAAGCTGCCGACGCTCGGGAGCGAAACTTCGGACATGGTGCCGAAGGCCACAGTCGATGAAGCTGTACGGCACGGTCGCGAACAAGTGGTAAGCCCGGAGATGTTAATGATCACGGGGAAACCCCCTCCTCTCGCGCAGGTGATGATCGCGGAGGCGTTGGACATCTCCAGGGAGACCTATCTCGCCATCCTCATGGACAGGACCTTCAACGGACCCGTGCTCGTCGGCAGCCCTTGCGGCGGGATGGACATCGAAGAGGTCGCCAAAAATAACCCCGAACTCATCTTCAAGGTGCGTCTGCTAAAAACGAGGAATGTTAACGCCTTCACCTGGTATACAGGAGGTCGTGAGCTCGATCCCGACCCTGACGCCTGCTGTATATTTGAGTTTGCATGTTCTCTATTCACGTTGATTTTTCCCCGGGTCCTCCGGTTTTCCTCTCCACATTGAGAAAGGACGCGCGTTTGGAGTGTTTTTGCTGCTATAAATGTCCACGTGATGAGCCACTTCGTTGAGCTATCCTTTGTGGCCAGCTCGCTGGGGCGACCGATTGAGTCCCTGGTCGCGAAGTAGTGACTGAGGTTCTGAGGTCCCTACTTCGCTGCGCATGCCGGCACCCACTCCCGGCCAGGTGGCCGGCGTCGGTGCCGTTTTTTTCTGACGGGGACTACCTCTGCCTTTTCCTCGGGTTTCTCTGTTTTACGTTCAAATTGCGCACGTTATAAATGTGTTCACGAACGAAGGACGGAATCTGGCAGCCCTAGCTTGCATTCCTGTCACAGCTATCATCAGTGGTGAGTGATAACTGAACCGGCCGTGATATTTGTATATATTTTACCATCTTCTTGGTTCTTTCGGTAAAGTCACTAAAATAATAAAATAATAAAACATAAGTCAATAAAATAATAATACATAATAATACATAATAAAATAAAACATAATAAAAGAATATTTAAAAAAATAATATTTTATAAATTATATTTTATTATGTTTTATTATTTTATTACTTCCCTTCTACGTGACTTTACCGAAAGAACCATGAAGATGAATCCCTGCAGTCACGAAAGCTTTAAATCGAAATATATTTTACCAGGTAAGACCCAATGAGCTGTAGAGCTCTTTTGCAGAAGTGAACCCGACTTCTTTCCTCTGCCCACCCTCCCACCACTCCCATCCCCCCATAAACCAACGCCGCCGCTCCCTTCAATGTATTATGGTCTAAAGTTATCCAGGAATTTCCTGTAATGCTGTCTTCCGTTTCACCATAAGTTAATAGAACATTCGTTACTTTGCGACACACCTGTTAGTAGCATAGACAAAACCGCAGTGCTGTCACACTCGAGTTGCGGCAGCACGTGTGATATTCGATGTTATTCTCCAAATCCGTAATGGGATTTCCTGTTCGAAACGTGACATTTCTCCACTCTGAGAACCATGTCACCATGTGTGCACGTTCTCAGTGTTTTTTTTTTGCTTCAAGAGTTTAACTCGGTACCAAGGAAAAATTTAGGGGCGCTGCGTTGGCGAGATGTTGACTACCTTGCCGGGTATGCAGGAGGTCGTGGGTTCGATGCTGACCCTAACACCTCTATATTTGGAGTTTGCATGTTCTCTCTCCCTGTGATCGCATGGATTTTCTCCAGGTCCTCTTTTTTTTTTACTTTTTCTTATTCAAAACTATTAAGAGTATTTGGCTGCTAAACATTTCCGCGCGATAAGCCACTTCATTAAGCTATCATTTGTGGCCAGGTCGCTTCTGAAAAAGAGCTCCATAGCTCAGTTGGCCTTATTCTCGTAAAATAATAATAGTTTAGTTCCGTTTTAGATAATTATTGGTAGCACCGACGAGAATATTGAATGGTTGGCACACAGAGGTCACCTGCTGGATCTTCCCTCCGCCTCTGCCCACTCGGCAGTATGAATGGCTCCACCACAAATTGTCGGTCGGCAGATCCGCGTGTGCCGTTGGTGGCGTTAGTAAGTGTGTGGGTACTCGCATCGTCTTCGAAGATGTCTGAGCAGCGTGGAAGAGGAGGCCAAATACCCACTGAAGAGGATCTCTCGATCCCCCCAGAGTGGACATCCTTCTGCCAGCAGGAGCACGAGAAAGCATTTGCAGGGCAGCGCCTTCAACCTTTTACAAGAGAAGTGTTTTCAATTGGGAACTATTTATGTCCTTTGTGTATGTGCTTTGTCTCAACAGTTGCCAAACCCTGTTGTTGCACTTGTTAGAAATGAGGTTTGAAGAAACTGCAAGGATATCAACAGAATACTAATCAGTTCACCCTCCCAGCCCTGCGATGAATATTCACGGTTCTCAAATCACAGTTCCATTCGAGAATGATTATTAGTTTCTTTGTCCCTTTTTTACATTTAATTTGTACTGCTTCTCATTGAAATCAAATTGTATTTGATGCTTCTGCGTTGGCAGTGGTGTACAAGCACAATTGACATCAGCAACTCAACACAACCTTCAATAACAACACTGTGGCCTTAAAATAACAATACGGTATATAATAGGGGAAGTTTTGTTGCAATTGGCTCTTCTTCGTAGCACATGTGTTTGCCCATCAGTATCGGAGGGTTTTGTCATTTACTCTTAAACGAAATGTCACACGCACATACCATCTGCGTAGAACGTTCATATGCTATAAATAACCAATTCTCACGTCATTTGATATGTGGTGCAATCGCATTTTTCAAACTACATTGCAGCGATAATTCGCACGATATATATGTGACATTACTTTTGTCGTTTAAAATGAATGGGGAAATGCGACAAAATGAATAAGCTCCTATTAAAGAATGATTAATAAAATGATAAATACACGCATTTTTACGATTATTCGGTAAAAAATTCAAGTTGCACTAATGCGGGTTGGTTATTCTATCAACTCTCGTGGCAAATTAAATCTTCCAGTCGCGCTTTTATTTTTCTGTAAGCTGTCATTCAAACATACAACCACTTGTGAATATCGTGATTGAAAAGCAGCAAGGTTCAGAGATGGTGGTCATTGCAAACTCTAAACTATTAACTATTTATTTTTTCAGCTAAGGCCCACTGAGCTATATAGCACTTTCAGAAGCGACCTGGCCACACATGATACCTCAAGAAAGTGGATTATCACGTGGAAATTTCTAGCAGCCATATACTCAATACATGTTTATAAATGTGGAGGGGAAAAACCGGAGGAGCCTCGAGAAAAATCCGAGTGTTTGCTCCTGCGAAATTCAACACGGGCCCGCATGCCGTCCGAGGAGGCGTAGTCGTTGGGAGCCGTGCTGATTGCCCCGCACGTACGTGCACAGTATGTACATTTTGCCCCCGTAATTATATTTTTCAGGCGCCTTGAATTTTTTTGTTGGCTTTGTTCGCCGGCGACATGGAATGGCGGAGGAGAACCGCCCCCGCATGAAATGCTCGGGGTTTTCACGAACGCTGCTGTGCTCGGTTGCGCAAACCTACGTACAACTTTCCATGCCGGCCAGTCCATTTGATTCGTCTGAAAAAATAATAATCATCATCATCGTGTATTTGTTGTCTTGAAAAGCTGTTCCCTACGCAGGGTTACTCGTCTGCTGTTTGTTAAATTAATAATTCTTTACAGTCTTTTGTCAATCTGCAACGTCCCATATTAAAACAATGGTCAGTGTTGCAACAACGTTGCACGCAACAGGCATTAAACTCAATAATGGTATTATATGTTATCATTAAAACAATAGCGTCTGGGAGTCCTAACAGAGGGTCGTGACCTTTTGAGGTACAAAAACCCAGGACATGTCAAAGGAATGATAATATTTTGCAATATCAGAAGAGGGTAAACGATATGCACATTCCATTTCCTGAGTGGTGCATTTATATTTACGCAATGGACACCCACCACCTTCCCGCTTTAAATGCTTAAGGAACAATTGGAGATTCCACAGAACAGCTACATCAAGAAGGGGACAATCCTGGCAAAGCCAGGGCAGGTGGCAACGCTAGGCCCAACACGTTCTTCCCCTTCTCACCCAGGTGGTCTTGGCCCAGGAAGCCAGGTATGGGATCTAGGGAAGGAAGGGCATCTGCTAAGTCTAGGAATTAAAAAACGGGAATTTTAGAGAAGTAATACATTTGTAAATTAGAAATATATAGAGATAACAGTTATTATTAAACACATGCAGTCATACGTATGAAACACATTCAGCCACGTTTGACCACCTTGTCATGATGACCTTGTGACTTCATTCAGCCAATCAAAGCCGCATCTTGCTTGTATAACTAGGACCATTATGTTTGCAGGCTTGAACGAAGTTGCAAGCTGCAGCCGCCACGTTGCAGGCAGCTTCACTTTTTCCTCGTAGTCTGCGTTAAACGGCGAATGTCAACGTTGGCTTTAGGCAACATTCCAAAGAAAGAACAAAATTGCACCACTTACCTTGAGCTTTAGCCTGTACACAGCTGGAGAAGATTGGTCAACCCGAACAGCTAAACAGATGGGGACATCATAACAAAGACATGAAAGGCCTCAATTGACTTTGCCGTTCCTGTGGACTGTCTTCAGTCCGATCACTCTTTCACATTCCTTGCAAGCACGGAAGCCGAGTGTAAGGGAATTTGGATTGTTGTGCACGTGGCACACGGCTAACTGATTTAAAATTCCTGTGCTGTACCAATCTTGTGAATGCGATGTCATTCTTTTTGTAGGAGGCCATAGACATCGTGGAAGGCATCAAGGATCAGCAAGCCTTGCAGATGGCCAAAAACCTGGGCTTTAAAGGCAAGCTTGAGAAACAGGTAAGAAAGAAAACGTTGTCAGTATATTACATTGTTGTATTATTTGAAGCTGTATGTATTTCTAAAAATAGTTTTCCGCTGACTGACCTATTTTGTCGAACATTTTTTTTCGCGGTCTAGTATACCCATAATGGTAGTCGAATGATTACGATTCAAATGAAAATCATTTCCTTTGCCGAAAAAAGCCTCGCTGAATGTCAAGGTTCATTTTCAGCAGGGTTCTGCATGATGATGTTTGGCTAATTCGATTTAGTGTTTGGCTTCATTTGCGAATGAAAACCGAGTACCTGGAGAAAACTCATGCACCCGGTTTCCTTTCACATTTACAAACATTCATTCATGGCTTTGGTCTAACTTTCCTATATAGGACCTCCAGAGCTTGGCCAATTGTTAGGACCAGTTTCGGCTGCCTTCCCGCATGCCTGTGGTTTCCTGCATCACAAAACTGCGCGTGTCGTAAATTTTACAACGTTTTGAGATCCAGCCTTCATCATTTAACACATGTTCAAATGTTTTAATATTAATAAAAAAAATCAATATCACGACTGCCATATTCTCTCCACCTTGCAGCCCTAAGTCTATATTACTTGGTATTCCCAGACGCTGTCTAATTAAAGCGCTAACCAAGTCTTAGTTCTTCTCGCATTGCAAGATCGTAGGAGGCTTGGGTGTATTCTGGGTGATTTAGTCCTTGGCAGTGATTTTCCTCTTAATTGACTATAGACTCTGGAAAAAAAACATTTTGGAAAAATGTAATAATAATCCTTTATTAATTTCAGTTGCATTTGCACAAGTTATATCTCGCTAAACCTTCCCTCATCCAACACTCACTCGGTTAATTGCATTTCAATGCACAAATAGGCGAACGGGACCACGCTTGATTTTTATCTGCTCGGATGATGTGTGCTTTGACTAATTCAAGAAACTTTTAAGTTGTTAGAAACATCATGATTAAACTACTATTGAGTGATTAATTAGATGTCCACTTTCACAAAAAAATACATTTATTCTACGCTGTCGTGTAAGCAGATTGTTTTCCTTATTTTTTTGCTCACCTACAGACATCCACTTTTTTCTGCAGAAATGTAATTAAATAGTCCACGAGATTCGCAACCAAAGCCAACTGCCGGCTCCAACGCGTTTCGTTTGAGCATGTAAATTAATGGCTTTATTTATCGTGTAATTTTTGTTTACTTGAATGCATGTTTCTATCTCTGAAGGGACACCTCTGTGTTGACGCCATGGGTGTGTAAATATGCTGGGTCCTATATAGCGCAGAGTGCAGTTAATGCTCCTGTTGCAAATCTCAAACAAATCCTTCGTGTAGATCCAGGCTTACTTGGCGCTGTCGGTGGCATTTCAATGGAAATACATAAATGAATAGAAAAATAAACAATGAAGCAACTTCCATTCCATATTTGCAGAGGCAAAATGGAATGTGTTTTAGTTTCTCAGCCTATTGGTCTCTCTGGGCTCGTATTAACCGGCAGCGTTTGTTTAAGCCGCAAAATCCACACTGCCTTTGACCTTCTTTGGTCTCATCAGCAGAGTCAGGCCTTGCTAAATAAATCTGCTGGTTTACCAGATGTTATTGGTCAAAGCACTCTAATTGATGGAGCCCCTTTAGCAAAACAATAATATCCCATAAAACCCATTACTTGCTGTGGCAAAGCTTTCCGGCTAATGTAATAAGTACATCGACTTCCATTTAATATGTCCTTAAAAAAGAAAATGTTTATTCTCAGACTTACTAGACTTACGTGAACCACTGATATTTGATACAGCTATTAGTAATTACATTGATTAAATTGTATTCACCCATGAAAACCACATGTGACAATCAATTGCCACACCCAGTTCAGTATCCTTCTTGCGATACTGCCCCAAATATGTATTTGATTGCTTTGCTTATGGCTCACTCACAGTGGCCCAATCACTGCACGATCAGACAACCCTGTCGCCGTAATTATGTAACGATACATTTCGGCCCTCTGTTAATCCAATGCTGGATGCGAATGCCTCCCACACTGCATCTGTCTTGGGGCTTGTCTGACCACATCTCATGCTGATTGGTAAATGGGTGGAGTTTCTGAACTGGTTCAGAATATTACTCGCCGCTGAGGCTGGCTGTGGCTAGGTTTCGGAACTTGGATCGGCGGCGGGTTCCTAATTCGGTGCCCTCACCGCTGTCACACGTCGCATATCATTACCATACGTGCTGCAATGCTAAACATGTTTATTTCACTTTCCTCATTTCTCCTATATAATGAGATTTTTTTTATTATTACACGGCAGCATTTTTGGCGCTTGATTTCATGATGGAATTATAGCTTAATCCCTCAAAAATACTCCATCTATTTTCCAAACATCTCGAGGAGGAGCTTCCTCAATAGACTTCGAACTGGATGAATAAAAGATGAAACACTGGGCATTGCCATTCTACATTTAGAATTCAGGAAATGGCGCTCTGGAAAACCTGCATTTAATTTTGGTACGGTGCAGTTGCTGCTTACTTAGATCGCACACCCCACTCTATATAATCCCCACAGCTATCCACTCTGTGGGTAACTGAGTATGTGGAGTGCCCACCAGCCCACTCTTGTCATATGTTCCTACCTCCCTGCCTCCATCCGCCCGTTCATCCATTCATCCACCCTCGTGATGTTCCAGGATTTTTTCATTCGATTGCCCATATGTGATCAAGGGATTGGGATTATAATTGGTGACATTTCATTCCGACAGTGCTATATCAGCTTGTATTCACCTCACGAGACAGATTATCCACTCGGATCTCTCGCGGACCAGTGCAACCCCCTCCGTGTTAGAGAATGGCCCATGGAAGTGGATACCACAGAGCTACCTCTGAGGTCACTTGAAGCGACCTCTGCTCCACAAAGTAGGGGTCGGCACTGTCCCACCTGCGCCGCATGTCAGAGTGATGTCTGGCACGTCGCAGTCACTCCATTATTTACATTCTTTGAGCTGCGATTAAGCCAAATGAAGTGCCGAACCAAATTGATGGTGATGGGTTTTCTTTTTTTTTTGCGGTCATTGTGACCACGCCGAGAGTATAAACTGCACCACGCTTTGGAAGCCGGTTTAAACCACGGCTTCCATTCAAACTCGGGCTCTGGGCGGCTATGCCAGCTCGCTTGCGCTCTTGATTTGTAAGTCACCTGGGCGGGGCCACCTCTCCGAGTATGCATTTTTAATTACAGCGCAATGCCTCCAGCTGCCGGCGAAATCAATTTACACGTGCCCGCGGTGCGCTATGGCGCCGTGTTGGGATCGCGGTTTGTCGAGAGCGAGCGCACTCGGTCACATGCAGCGTTGCTGGGTAGCGGCGGCGGTAACGGTTACACTGATGGTGGTGGTGCTACTGCTGTATGCGTGCTAACAACTATCCTGGTGGTGAAGGAGGAGGCACCGTCAGTGTAGCGGTTGGCGCGCTTCGCTACGAACCCGGCAACCCGAGTTTGATTCCCGATCACGGCTAACACCAGCGACGATTATCTGAACTGGTTCCGGGCCTCCGCTAGGTTGACTCGGCCTCAAATGCGTACCTGGTGCAGTGTGTAAAGATTGGGCAGACAAAAGCGGCATGCGCGTGGTGTTGGCCATCCAGCCCCTCGTGTGCCGTGTCGGCCGGCCTTCATAGATGTTCGCGAACAGCAGTTGCCCCAACAGTCTGTTAAGGCTTTACGGGGATATTTGTCTTTGGTTGTAGCAAGCAAGCGTTTTTTGCTTCACAAAGGAAGGATGTTTCCTTTGTCTATGGTGTGGAATAACGGCCCCCTGCTCGCAGTCCAGCCCTTGGTGTACGCCTGGAGCGTTCCCAGTGTAGTGTGACCAACAGTGCCGCGACTGGGGCTTAGCCAGAGGCTGGCAGGCAGCGCCGCAATTGTTATCAGGACTGCTGCGGGTTCAATTCCCGGTCACGGTGATGGAAACACACGGCAGGTTTGTTCTTCATCCACCGTTGCCTCTGTGTCCTCTGGGGGATAACTTGAGTGCAGTGTGGCAAGGAGGATTGATGGGTTTTTCTCTGCGGTATGGGGGAAATTGCGAGTACGACCTGACGTCAAAGTTTGAGCTTCAATGCCATATAGGAGAGAAAGGCTCCGCCGTCTTCATAATCGTCCGCAGCCCTGAGTCAATCCATTGCCGGGGCAAGGCCACCTCCATGGTGTGCCATTATTCAAGGCGGTTGTTTGATCATACTTCACCACACTGCTCAGTGTAGGTTGTCGAAGAGGGGCCCCTAGGGACCGGTTGAGATATCGCTCACTACTGCTGTTAGCCTTGGACAGGAATCTAACTCGGGTTGCTGGCTTCTCACCGCTACGCCGCCGCTCCTTACCCCTGCCTTGACAAAGGAGTGCAGCAAGTTGGCTACGTTGTTTTCATGATTAAATAAAAAGATATTGGCACGTAGAATAAAGATCGTTTGATTTGGTTGAAAAGGGCAACCTTTGTTAAATTGTTGGAAATGAATGACTAGAGAAGAGGCACAAAATTAACCCGGTAACTTTGCCTTTTTTTTATTACAGATTTCAATTTGCAATGCAATGTTGATAATATGGCATGATACAGTCTTAAATGATACTTGCATTTGCAGAATAAATTGTCTCGGAAAGTTAAATAGTCAAGCTTCTAAATGTAAGTCGAGGCATTAAAGCACAAAGAACTGTAACAGAGCACAGTGCTACAGCTAGAACACGGCTAATGTTGTCTGCAGGGCAACTAACATTCCATTGGAGTTCAGTGGGTTCACCAGGTCTAGTTGCACCGCTATGGCTTCGCCTATTTCTATTGTGTACTGATTTTACACAATTCCTGTCGGTGCTCTATCGTAAATCATCATCACATCTATGAGCTCAGTTTTTTGGCAAAGTAAGAGGCCACTTTGCTTTTGATGCAACGCAATCCATTTCCTTTAAGATCCCGCCAAAGGCCATTGAGACGAGAAGTTTATTTTCCAAGTGCGGCCTTTGGTCAGTTAGATACGTTGTAACTGCAAACGTGTTCCTGTGCAACGAATGAAAACCGCTGCATTAAACATTCATGGTGACTATGAACCCGGCGACCCGAGTTAGATTCCCTGCCATGGCTCACATCAGTGGCTAGTGATGTACTGAACCGGTGCTGCCAATTGTCCTGCGCTGACTGAGATGGTGGAGTTTGGGAAAAAAAGCCAGCATGATCGACGTTGTTTGGGGACGTCTTAATTTTGTGGTGGGGGTTGAGAACGGCTGTAAATTTATTTATAATTTTAAGAATCAAAATTATGGAAAACGAAAACCGAAACATGACCCGTAAACGGTGGTTGTGTGCACGCGTCTGTTTATATTTTGCAGGCCGCCGAACAAATAAAGAAGCTCTACAAGTTGTTCCTCAGCGTGGATGCCACACAGGTTGAGATAAACCCATTTGGCGAGACCCCCGATGGCCAAGGTAAGTGTGGTGAGCCAGCGTGTGCCTGCAGCACCACATGGAAATGCATCGTCGTGAAAAAAATCACTGCTACTCTGAAGGATACTATTACCAGGCCAATCAGAATTAGCATGGGGTGGAGGGGGTTGGCGCACATGGAGGGTGTGGTAATGTGCGCGCATATGTACGAGTTTTGACCACGTACGAGGGGAAAAGGGTTGGTTGCTCCCAATTACTGAAAGTCGTTTTGAACGTTGTCCAGTAACGGGTTTTTGGTGTGATATCGGGGAACGTATCGAGTCAAAACGAGGTTCACGTTTCCCTCGCCCTTAATAGCCAGACTGCTACGTGAAGGCAAAGTATTCTCGATCCCAACATGGCAAGTCCGCTCATTTATAAACAATGTCACGGTTCATGCAGTTGTCGCCATAATGCAAGTCGTTTTTTCGAGGAATTTTTCTAGTTTTTTTACCCCCCAAAAAATCCTAAATATATACCAAATAATGACATTTCTGCTGCGCTTATAACGAGCGGTTGTGCAGGGGACGCTGCCATCCTTGGTCATGTGATGAATCTGCCATCAAGTGGAAAAATAAATCTGGAAAACGCGTAATGCTTGCGGTGGCGAGATGTTAACTGCCTTGCCTGGTATACAGGAGGTCGTGGGTTCGACCCTGACGCCTGCTGTATATTTGGAGTTTGCACGTTCTCCCCGTGGCGGCTTGGATTTTTCCAGCTCCTCCGGTTTTTCCCTCCACATTTAGAAACATGCGTTTAAAAGTATTCGCTGCTATACATTTCCACGTGATATGCCACTTCGTGGAGCTATCATTTGTGGCCAGGTCGCTTCTGAAAAAGAGCTATGTCGCTCGGTGGGCCTTAGCTGGTAAAATAAAAAAGTCTATTTTTAGTTTAGTGTAGCGTATGCACTTTGCAACTTTTACACAAATGCAGCCATAGCTTAGAGCAGCGATTCTCAGTGATTTTGATTTGGGGGAGGGGGGGTGGAGGGAGGGTAGGGGGGCAGAATGCAGGAGGAGATATGCGCAATTGTGCGGTCTGCAGTCATCGCCCTTCCTTATTGTCTCATTCGTTACGAAACATTCATCTCAATGACAAGGCTTGGGCTCACTGCGCACACTGCTCACCAGATTTGTAAATTTTCTTCAAATTTTGGGGAGAACCGCATGATTTTCAATCCCTTTATCTACTACAGAATTAGAAATCTCGACTTGCTCTGTACCCCCCAAAGCTGTGCATTAGAGAGCCCTCAGTCCACGTGCCCAATGGGGTCTGTTGGACACGTGCTGCAAAACACGAGGCTGTAACCCGACGAAGATAAGCACCCTTAATGGTCACAAAGCCTATCCTGCATTAGAGTGCATCAGTCTCAGAGCTAAGAAGTGCACATTGGGCTGATGCGAACGCCACAATCCCAGCTCCGACCCCGGATCAATTTCAAGATCGCACTCTGCCGTCTTCAAGATCATCTTCTTGGTTCTTTCGGTAAAGTCACGTAGAAGGGAAATAATAAAATAATAAAAATAAAACATAATAAAATAATTCTCACGACGTTTCGGCCACAACGCAAGCAGCCGTCTTCAGGTGAAGACCAGGTCTGTCGGGGAGACAGCGTCTGAAACGGCTGCTTGCGTTGTGGCCGAAACGTCGTGAGAATTATTTTATTATGTTTTATTTGTATTATTTTATTATTTCCCTTCTACGTCACTTTACCGAAAGAACCAAGAAGATGAATCCCTGCAGTCACGAAAGCTTTAAATCGAAAAAAGTCTTCAAGGTCCTCCATGGACTTGTCCCCGCGCATGCACGCCCTCCGCTCGTCTCGTGCTGTTCATCTCTCCTCCGTGCACTCTCTGCTCCAGCAAGCAAGGCTTTCTGTGCGAGGCCACCAGTCAACCCCATGGCCTGGAACTCTTTTGCCCCAAGAGAACACTCCATGTTGTCGAACTCCCGTGTTTAAACAAAGCGTAATATACCTTATTTTTTTCCTTTGCCTATGACTGACCACCAACGCATATGCCCACCGTTTCTGTGCGGTGTCTTTGGAAGCGGCTATTTTTAGACGCCGTTTTATATCCAAACTCTATTGTATTCCTGTCGTATTTTTCCTGTTACTTTGCGATTGTCAGTGCACCCATGTGAACTCTGGCTGTATGAAAATCGACTCCTTGTGCCAGTGGTAATATTTATGTGGAATTGACATCCAAACCACATAAATATCATCTGTCGAGTATCTGCAGATGCTACTGGGTTTTTTGGGACGCAGAAGGCTGTTGCCTCATGCGGAGTGACTGCTAATTATTGGGCACGTGTATAAGGGTATATGTGTGAGTGTGGTGGGTGACAAGTAGCTTTACACGTTTCAGGATTATTGAATTTTTGGGTTCATAGCTTCACAGGGAGCACGTTGTGCGCCAAGGTCTCCCTTAATACAACACAAAATCGCATTGGGATAGATAAATAAGTGTCGTACAAATGTTTTTTTAACGCTCAGAAATGTACATAGTTAGCACAATGGTGCGCTGTGCAAAGCTGTGAACTGCAGCTTTTTGTTAATGGTTTATCAGTCGGACAACTCTTGGCATACTTGTGCCGCTAAGCGCGCAGTTTGGAGGAGCGGCGGTGGGGGGGGGTGGAAGTTGGCGCTTTTCTTATTCCCATTAATTATAGATGGGAATCCATCCGTGCCGCTGCTGTGTTTGACAGCTCGTCGATGTATACTCATTCAGGCCAGGGCTCCAGAAAATATTAATGTTAATGAAATGATGGTATGAAATAAAAACAACAGGAGCCCGGGGCAGATTAATGTGCCACACCAACCGTAATGGGCTTAGGCACTTATGAAATACCCCTTTTCCCGACCCTGTTTTCCGATTTGATTTTCTTTAATATTAAATGCCGGCCGCACGTAATGTGACGATCATTAGTGGAGAGACCAATTTCCGATAGCTTATCGTTGAAAGTGTCTGTGGGGGGGGGGGGGGGGAGGGTTTGGTTTGGGTTCGGGTGCTAATGTGTGCACGGGAGCTAATCGCAAAAATAATTTAAGAATATTGAACAAGGCAGCCTCGCTAGCACGGCTTGAGAAGCTCATGCCAGGACTAGGCTGCATAACACGAGTAAAGGCGTCTGCTTGATAACAATGTCATATCTTTGTAGCAACTGTATTTTGTGGATATTGCGTGGACAAAGAAGATAGGTTTGCGGAGATCTATGATCAGACGGAATATATAAGTACCGCCCTGGGCAAGAAACAAAAAAAAAGTCAAAGCAACCTAATGTGAGGCTTTTATTTTTTTGCTTTATAGATGTCGTAAAAAAACACGTATTGAATTTTGGCTATGAGCTGCAGTGCCTGAAGTCTAACTGCTTCAAGTATAAAGTTTGTAGATGGCTTAAGAGCATGGGCAGCGGTGTGTCTATCCGTGCATTACCGAGCATTTGTCCCGAACTGAATGGGCGTGATAAGGAGCGGAGATCAAACCGCTGTTACATTTCATTGCAATTGTTTTACCACTCCGTTTTTTTTATCTGCGCACCATCTTTTATAATGCGTTCTGTCTTGCAGGCAATGTCCACGTAGTTTTCTGATCTCTGTTGCACTCATTCCTACTCATTGCGTGTGGAATCATGTGCACGTTGTACGAGGGAAACCGCAAAAAGATTAATGACTTCTATTCATTTCTCAACAAGCTTTTTATTGCCTCCTCGTGTTATTGAAATCCTGAAGAAATTCAAGGTTCATGTGATTTCCTGCTCACATGAGCATTCAGCCTCTGCTTCTCTCCTCATCTTACAGCCCTGAGTCTGGTGGAAATTCCAAATTTCTATGACAGGAGCAAGTCTCCCCATAGCAATTGAAAGTCCATATTTTGGCTAATGGATTCCAGATATTTTATCCGCGTGGTGGTGGCTACGCACCCAGCCCATAATCCAGCACTATGGTGGCAACTGCAAGGGTTGGTGAATCACACAAATTTTGTGACAACTCTCTTCTCGAGGTGCATCGGAGCCACAACCTGCTTGCCAGCAGAAGGCAGTACGGCAGATGTGGACTCCGCCTCTTTCATCTGCAATGGGATAGAGTTTCCCCTCCGCACACGCGGGTTATTTTTTTTCCCCAGGTACACTTGAGCAGTGTTGAAAATTTAAGCCAAATAGGCTCTCGAGGGCCTCTCTAGAGCTTCCTGTAGTGGAGGCCCTTCTGCCAGCAGTGGCATGACCTATGTAATTGTAGGGCTGAACCTTTATTATTTTCATTTATTTACCTTTTTGATACGGGCCTACTCGTGTTACCTGTGCCTCCCCGGAATGGAATGTCGACGTTCGATTAATCGCTCCTTGGCTGTGTCCCCCTTCTATGTCTTGCAGTGGTTTGCTTCGACGCCAAGATCAACTTTGACGACAACGCCGACTACCGGCAGAAGAAGATCTTCGCTATGGGCGACATTTCCGAGAGCGATCCCATCGAGGTGGAGGCGGAGAAGCACAACCTCAAGTACATCGGGTTGGACGGAAACATCGCCTGCTTTGGTTTGTTGCGCTTCCTCTTGCTACGCAGTTCGCTTTCTTGAAACGTTGTTTTTTATCTGTTCTGGTCCAGTTGGAGATCAGGTTACTTAGCCAGTACGGTCGAGGAATTTGGGCAGCCACCGGTCGTTGAACGAGGTTCTAATGTTTGTGCGTATGTATGTTGAACTTCTTTTGCACCGTACATTGCCAGCCGTGCAAATTTGGGGTGCGGGGGAAGGACAACAAACTAAACGAAAAAATTAGTTCTAAAGTAATGTTTTCAATCTAGATATGAAAGTGCATAGCTCCAGTCAGTGGCTTCCTAATATCGGCAGGAAGTGGTTTCCAGACGGCCACAGAAATGCATCTGAAAGCGCGCGATGCGGTAACCGTCTTTGTTCAATGGCCAGCCAAAAGCCGCTTTTGCGAGGGATGACCGGAGTTTGTGATCATCTCGGCTCAGTCACCGTTGACTGCAGAAAAAAAAAAACCCATTACATTAAATGTCATGGCTGAATTTCGGCTCTGAGAATATAAAATCTCTGTTTGACTCTCATACAACTCGCATTTATTCCCAAGAAAAAAAAAAATCTTGAATGGTGGGGTGGGTCAGAGGTTAGAGTATTAACTCAGGACAATTTGAGGTCTTGGGTTTGAATCTGAGCAGCCACCTGTGAGTAACCCAAAAACTCAACATATCGCTCAATAGCACTGCCTGGAAAGGAAGAATATATATTCTAGGGGATGCTTCGGGCAATGGTCTTTATTCATAGTACACGCGATGAAACCAGGTTATCCAATGGCGTGAGTTGATGGTCTCTGGCCAATCCCTGACAACCGCACTGCCCATCACGTTCAATTTGTTTTTGTTTTATGTTGGCTAAAATCCAGCCCCTTGGAATGCAACACATGAGACTGATATGTGACGTCAAATGTTCCCCTGTAACAGGGTGTGTGGGCTAGTTACGCCCCATAGGTGTGGATCGAAAAGGTGACTTTTAAGGGATTTCTGAAGTTGTTCTATAACATCCCCTTCCACAGGCCATTCTGCCGCACACACGGCTGCAATGCCGTGCGAGCGTTCTATGCCACTGCTTCATTTCACGACATCACAATTGGAATAAATTTGATAAAAATTTCTATTTTTGAAGAATATTCGCTCAGCTGTTGATCCTCGTCGTCCTCTGCATAGCGCTTGCAACCTTCGTTGAAGTACACTTACTCCGAACGTGGGCCCAGATCTCGTCGCGCCAGTATATCAGAGTCAATTAGATACCTGGTGGGGGTGGTGCGATAAGATATAGATATCTCTTCTGCTGTTGCTGCGCACTAAAGATATGCACGTACAATTGAACGACTGCAGACAAACACACAATGCCTTTGGTAATGAGACTGGCATTTTGGGAATTGCCATTTATCACAAATTAGTATGCCGGTTCCCGCATTAAAACAACGGACAGAGGCGCGCGCACCCCCAGCCCTCCCTTGCAAAGTCACTGTTCACAGACTAATGAAACAAACAACTCTCCCGGCTTTTAGATGTCGGGACACCACACCAGCACTTGCTCGCAAATGAGCCGCATGTAGGTGAATGGAAGGTTGGGGGGGGGTGGGAGGTTGGGGGGGTGGGGGGGGGACCCCATCAGAAAAGTGAATAATTAAGCAATCTTTACTCATCCGGATGCCAAGTGTTTGCCTTCGGGCTGTTTTGTCCCAGTTGGAGTCCTACCTGGCACAGCACAGATGTAATGTCTGGAAGGTATACATGAAGGCGTATTTGGGTAATTGAGTTGTTTGCTATATTTTTGTCACGAAGCTTTGCGCGCTATGAACTGCTCCTGAACGCAGTGTCGTAGGATCTCTACATTTTCTCAACATTTTATGAATGTACCTGTGCATAAGTGACTAGGTCACCTCGCCTAAATCAATAATATCGCACCCATTAATAATCATTCATTCCTGGCACAGGCAGCTCTAAGCAAAGCATTGAGCCAGGATTTCCGAGATGTTGGGATCAAATCAGACATGAAAAAATAACCTTTTTATTTTACCAGGTATGGCCCACTGAGCTATATAGCTATTTTTAGAAGTGACCCGGCCACAAATGATAGCTCAACAAAATGGCTTATTGTGTGGACATTTACAGCAAACAACTGCTCTAAACACATGCTTATAACTGTGGAGGGAAAAGCCAGAGGACCCGCAGAAAAACCCACGCGACCACAGGGCTGGAGACACGCAAACTCCAAATATGCAGGTGGCAGGGTCGGGATCGAACCCACGACATCCTGTATACCAGGCGAGGGAGTTCACATCTAGCCACCGCAGCGCCCATTTGATGAAGTCCCGCTTACGCTTTTTGTTGCAGTGAATGGGGCTGGCTTGGCTATGGCCACCTGTGACATCATCGACCTGCACGGAGGCAAGCCGGCCAATTTCCTCGACCTGGGGGGAGGCGTGCAGGAGAACCAGGTCTACATGGCCTTCAAGCTGCTCACCAATGACCCCAAGGTAACCGCAGACAGAGCTGCCCCTCGACGCACCATTGTCAGCCACGATGAATCCACTGCTGTATGCATTTTTTTCAACATTACCAGGTAAAGCCCATTGAGCTTATATATATCTCTTTAAACGAAGCGATCTGGCTATCACAAAATGATAGCTCAACGAAGTGGCTTATTATCACGTGGAAATGTATAGCAGCCAAATACTCTGAACGCATATCTTGATTCTAAAAATCTACACCCACCCAGCCATCCACCTACCCAACCACCCACCAAGCCACCAAGGCACCCAACCACCCGGCCACCCAACCATCCAGCCACCCACCAAGGCACCCAACCATCCAGCCACACAGCCACCTAACCACCCACCAAGCCACCAAGGCACCCAACCACCCGGCCACCCAACCATCCAGCCACCCACCAAGGCACCCAACCACCCAGCCACCCAGCCACCCAGCCACCCAACCACCCACCAAGCCACCAAGGCACCCAACCACCCGGCCACCCAACCATCCAGCCACCCACCAAGGCACCCAACCACCCAGCCACCCAGCCACCCAACCACCCACCAAACCACCAAGGCACCCAACCACCTGGCCACCCAACCATCCAGCCACCCACCAAGGCACCCAACCATCCAGCCACCCAGCCACCTAACCACCCACCAAGCCACCAAGCCACCAAGTTAACCAACCACCCAGCCACCAAACCACCCAGCCATCCACCCACCCAGCCACCTACCATTCCACCATCCCAGCTCTGGCTGTTCGATGTAAATTCAATATTCAAGTCAAGAATCTTTTTTATTTGACATTAACAATATGCGAATTGTTGCACCCCCTGGTGGCTGCGCATGTCACGTATGCATTTCATACATCTTCCACAAATCGGTAAACACATTCATTTTTTCGCACGAGGATTGGCTGCGTGTATCCGGAACTTGAGAATCAATGTTCATGGATCATTGCATTTTTACTCTCTTGGTGCGCAACGTCATTTCAAACCGTACCCACAATGATGTTGCCTTTACCTTAGAGTCGAGTCGATGTTTCATTTGTAGTTGTGATCGCGTGCATCTACAACACTGCAGGTGCTCTCTTCCCTCAACATTTATTGTGTTGGCCCTCCTGCGTTTTAACTTTTGTTGATCAAACCACGACATATATTCTCTTATGTGCATAAAAGTGAATTGTAAATTAGTTCTAATTGTTAGACATTCTTGTAAATAAAAAATGTGTGGATTCTCTAAGGGCTGTTTGGTGTAGAATATCAGTAATGGTAATAATAATGAGGTTTCATATAATTTTTAAAGGCGTGTGACCACTTGTTTTGCCCCGTTCAGATAACGAATTTCGCAAATGAGCACCGGGGCAAATCATGGCAATGCGACGGACGTTGAAATCCGTGGAGGCAAAGCAAAATAATTTGAGGTGGCTTCGAGGTTACTTTGGTCAGACACGTTCCAGATGAAACGTGTTTTTGATGGAGGAGACAAACTCTAATTTGTTAGCGGCCTCATGAAAGAAGCAGAAAGGACGGCGCAGCGGGAAGCTGAATCTATGATAATTTATAATATCGGACGACATGACACTTTCATAGGCTGGCCAATATCTATAAAGCAGAGGGGAAAATCAGTGTGGCGCCCCAGGTAGCGAGGTCTAACACATTCGTTTAATAGGCAGATGTAGATCAGAAATGTGGTCCAATCTCACAAAGGAGAATTGTGGTGGGTGGTCGGGGTGGGTGGGAGGGAATACAATGGGACTGGGCCTGCGTCGTCCAATATTTGTGATGCCCTCTCATAAGCGTGTGACAGCGGGTATCACCTATCGAGCGACAGGCTCCATTATGGGCCACTGCAGATATCTCTTTATAGAATAATTCAGGCAGAGACCCTGCCTGGATGGACATCTCCAGAATTTCAGCCGAAGAGAGTCATCCCTTCCCTCCGCCGTCACATCAGTCAGCAAACCAGAAGATGAACAGAAAATGGTGTGGGTCATGCTATGAATGGGAAAGGTCTTGATGGCATTGATTTTTTTTTTTAAAGACTTAGTTTTTCATGTGTCTTAGGAGCGTGTGCAATGTTTTATTGCACGTCTGCTGAATTCCACGCGCGTCGGGTTCAATTCCTGGACACTGTTGTTGAAGCCCCTTAGAAGACTTCTTTGTTGACCTTTGTGTACAGCCTTCTTACTTGGCTGTAGGTTGTGTACGCTATACAAAGCTCGTTTTAGCATCATGTGTGGTCCGAATGCATGCTGCTGTGGTGTAACGGTTCACACCGGTGGACTTGCAAAATTCAGAGGTTGCAAGTTCGATCTCCTGGCACGCCAGTTATAGCGACGGTGCAAGTTTCTTAAATCTCCGCCACTGCCTCTGTCTACCCGACAAGGTAAACGGGGGCACGACAGTTGGCCTAGACGATCGGAAAGGTCGTGGGACACCACTGTTGCGAGATGTTAACTACCTCGCCTGGTATACAGGAGGTCGTGGATTTGATGTAGACCCTGACACCTGCATATTTGGAGTGTGTATTTTTCCCCCGTGGTCTCGTGGATTTTTCTCCGGGCCCTCCGGTTTTTCCCTCCACGTTTAGAATCGATGTGCGTTCAGAGTGTTTGGCGGCTATGCGTTTCCACGTGACGATAATCCACTTTGTTGAGCCATCATTTGTGGTCAGGTTGCTTCTGAAAAAGAGCTAAGAGCTCCGTGGGCCTTACCTGGCAAAATAAAAAGGTTTCGTTTTAGTTTAGTTTGTGAAGGGGGGGTAAACGTGTCGGGTACCCCCCCCCCCATAGTTTTCAAGACTTCTGGCCAGCATGGAAGAGTAGCAAAATGTTCTCTTGAGCACATACTGGAGCCTCCTCTAGTGCCGTGATTCTTAACCTTTACTGCAGCCTTGAAGCCCTTTGGTTCTCGTGCTTAATTTGTGTTTCGATGATTTAAAGAAATCTGGCCATGTCTCGTAACCCCAAAGAGGGCATCTCACATCCCCAGGGGGTGCGTGCACCCCCAGATTAAGAAGAACCATTGCTCTCGTGGGAGGCCCATTCCGCCAGCGGTCGCGTGAGCAAGCCATTGTAGGGCTGCACCTGTACCTGCTTCAAGGGTATTGTGTCTTTGTAACCCTAAGCTTTTTCCGCCTGCCAGTGTAAAAGCGTACATTAAAGATCCCCTATAAAGGATTGTTGTTTTGGGGCGGGGGGGGGGGTATTAGTGGAAAGGAACGTATTGTGCTAATTGAGGACCTCGTGCTAATAAAATTGGACAGTTTTTTTCACAATACAGACATGCGGGACGTTAAAGGCATTAAAAGCTGAAATATAAATTTTTTCAGAGAAATGAATAAATGAATGTTGCACGTTAATTTAAGCTTGTACAATCATAATTTAATGCAACTAAAATGGCCAGTTGTTTCTAACAGTTAGTGATTTGTAGTTCACGGCAATTACCAAACTACCTTGCTATTTAATTGAATTACATTCCTCTGCCTTCCTCCAAAATCGCGGGGTGGTTTGCTGGCTGAGTAAATGTGAATTACCAGGGCTGGTTTTACATCTGGGTGTGCCTTGTAAAGAGAGCAGTAATTACTTAAAATTGCATGCCGTTGCATAATTTGTGGCCAATTAGAGTCAGGTATTGTCCATTTTGTCTTGCACAAAATTGCATTTCACGGTGGAAGTGCACTAATTGCATGGCGCATGCAAAATGTCTATAATGTAATTCACGTGACCCCCCCCCCGCCCTGTTGCAGGACACGCAATGCCATCACACAGAGAGAATGCAATGCACATTTTCATATCCATCGCACAGTATTAGAATGATTAATTCCACCGGTATATTTTGGTCTATTCCTCCTCGCATCTTACGTTTCCTTTGGCACCCTTTAAGGTCATCTTAGGAAGAGGTCATGGGTTCGTAAATGCAGCTTTGGGTCAGATCGCCGTGTAAGTAAAACACGTGTCGTGAGCCCAACACGGCCCAGCAATAAAGTCGCTTGAGCAGCACCACCGGCTGAGCCATCCCTAGGGTACACGGTGAATTGAGGCGACTGCCCGGGCCCAACGCTTTGGGGGTCTCCCTCGCACTTTAACGTCACAGTGTCAGACGTAATACTTCCCCGGTTTAGTTTGAAGGCGTCGGGCCGGCCCACGCAGTGGCAGTTGACCCAGGCCACGCCACAACCCCCCCCCCCCCCCACCTATAGACGGCCCTGACCACCAGTCGTGTTAAGGAGCAATCCACGTTCAGCAACGTTGGTTACATGACCCAGGGCTCGGAGCACCAGCACAGATAACATCCTGCGCTTGTATTCGGGTAGCCACCTGTGATGAAAACTGGGGTCTAGTGTAGCGATTTGATGGTCTCAGTCCACTCACTAAATGGTTCTGACGTTTGATTTTGACATCGTCTTGTGACTCCGTAAGGTTCTCCTGGGTTAACAAGTGCGATAGATAAATAAGTGGTCATGTGTTTGTATTCGTATTTTTACGTTGTCGCAAATATCAATATTGCATGGATTATTCTACGTTGAGATTTTAACGATTATAACGGACGATTTACTTTTGAAAGTCAGCTTTGAAATGGAGTAGCAAGCGGCCGTACCAACTGAGATTTTATACAAGTACATCTTGCCACGGTGGCGATGTTATCTCCCCTGCCAGGTATGGAGGAGGTCGTGGGTTCGATCACGACCCTGATGCTGTATGTTAGAAGTTTGCATGTTCTCCCTGTGGTCGCGTCGATTTTTCTCCGGGTCCTCCGTTTTTTTCCTCCACATTTTGAATCAACATGCATTTAGATTATTTGGCTGCAATAAATTTGCACATGATAAGCCAGGTCACTTCTTAAAAAGAGCTAATAGATCAGTTGGCTTTACTTGGTGAATTGGACTTATATGAATCAGGCATGTATTATTTATTCATATTTAGTGATTTGCTGACATTTTTCTCTATTTTGCACTCCTATCGTTTTTTATTGTTTGTTGTTGTAGCTTCTTGACCC